TGTATAAAAAATCTTGAACATCATTATGTTAGAATTTTAAGAATTGTCATACGTGGAATTTAAAATTTCAAGATCTAATAAAATAAATATATTACGTACTTGAATCTTTATAGTTAATATATTACCTAAAAATCTTTAAAGAACTTCAACAATTATCATAATTAAGGATCTTATGACAAAATCTACAAAAACAAATATCATTGACAAAACCAACAAAAAAAAATATTGTTAGCATTGGGATTTAAATCTTTCTCTCCTTAATCAACTTTTGTATAATAACACCGATCAATTATGTCGCTCCTTAACTCTACTATTTATAGATGTAAGGTTTTCTTAATGAAAAAAGGATTCTAGTCCATTATAATAATTTTTTTTAGTACCACCATCAAGTAACCTACTTTTAATTTCAAGTTCTACCCCTATTCATATCACACCATATAAAATTGAAATAAAAAACTAGATTCACTTAGATCACATTATTTTATTGAATTTTATGATTTTTTTCATTTGATCTAATTTTAAAAACTAAATACAATTAGTGATAGCTCACGTAAAATTTTCAACATTACCCTAATTACAATATTAAATTTATAAATTTAAAATTATAATATATTATTAAATAAGTAAATATATTGTATCATATAATATTATAAATAAATATTTAATAAAAAGAGTCAAATATCATAAACTAAAAATTAATAAATAAAAATTATTTTAAAATAAAAAAATTTAATATTATAAATTTATAACATCACTTATAATGTGATTGTAATCTTATCAATTTTTGAAATGAAACTTCTTGTTGTGATAACTGCAACATAGATGTCGCTTTCGTACACCTTTGTTAGACGTGTAAGACGGCGACATTTTACTTGCACAAAACAAACGTAGAAAACGAAAGCACATCAAACAGGCTCGTCCGAATTTTATGCTCTCTGTGATGTTCCCATTTTTTAAGTCAGAGACTCAACAGTAAAGTGGCGGGAAGGAATTATTTTTTAACAATCTATAATTTGGGAAAAGGGGAATATTTTTTTTTTTTTTTTACATTTTGGTAAGAAACCCGCTCAGTAGAAGGGAGAATGTACTGATTGATTGACTAATGTCAATAAACTTATAGGATTAAATGCAAAAAAAGAAAAACTTTTTCTAATGCGTGGATAGAAATAAGAGTTAAAAGTTAATATTTTAATTTTTGATAAAGTTTCATTATTAATCAAAAGTATAATTTATCGACAATTCTATTAAATTGTAGTAATTATCAATAAATCAAAACAAAAAAATACAACAAATCTAAACATTTGTTTCGATACGAAACATTGAGTTCAAAAGTCAGATTTGGCGGATGGAATAATAATTATAATAATAATAATTATTATTTTTTGATATTAATTATATAATAAAATATAATTATTTTTTATTTTATCATATTTATATATCATGTGATTCAAATTTAAAAATTTTTACTTCTATT